TCCCTGTATTTCCAGTTCCTATCTGTACCAGTGTACATCCTCTGGTCTAGCCAGACTTGCAAGGTCGAATTCATATCATGATAGGGGGAGCAGGGAGGAAACATTTAGGAACTCTTTTTCAAAAAGGTCAGATTTATTTGTCTGGCTTGAGTTGGGGAAGATAGTTATCAGACCCATGGGGTATCCTCATTTCAGTGCCAATGAGAAAAAAATATCATTTACATGGAAATTAAAAAATGAGGAAGCATAGAAAGGTTGTTCTTGTGAGAAGAAAGTTCATACTAGTACCATGAATGTTTTATTTGTATTGCAACACTAAAAGATTTACCCCGCTGTTTGGGAATTTTGGCTTAAGACAGAAAGTGGAGGACACTAGGGGATAATGCATCTTTATATGCTAAAGAGGACAATTAAACCCATCCCCAAAGACATTGTTTAAGGTTATCCATCTCGATCCTCCACTTCCAGTTCGCATAAAAGGAAACTACATTCAACTATACATTGCGGACACAAATGAATTTATAGGCCAATCCTGTAGCATCACCCCTTCCTTCCCAGGGGAGAAAGGTAGGTGGTGCTTCTCTGACCACGCTTGACAACCGTTAGAGAGTGGCAGGCCAGGGGAGAAGCACCAGTGGGCAAGCTGCTCTTCACCGCCTGGCAGGGCAGGGCTATTTGGTGTACTTTGAGGGCCGTACTATTGCTTAGGTCCCCTGATGTGCACTGTCTTGTTGGTACCCTGCTACAAAGGGCTGCCTCCTGGGAAAGGGGTCCTTTTTGCTGTCAGCTGCTACAGAGGCAGCTCCAACTCGTGATGGGCCCACTTACAGCAGGATGCCATGCTGGCCAGTCCCACACCATCTTCATCTTCATGGTCAGTGGTCTTTTTGAGCCTTGTGTGATCTTTAGGTCTTCATCTCACTTTTCAAGATTTACAAACCAATGATTTTGCCATTTCATATTGTCAAATCAGCCCTATGGTTAACAAAAGAACATATCTGTGAATTTGCCTAGAGGAATGCTTTGATAATTATAATTAGGACATCAGTATGCATTATCTAACTGGGTAGATAGGCTAGATTCTATATGTTCCCTTAAGGTGAATTTATTTATTTCCTTTTGAATAAATAACTCTCAGATTTCATGAGAAAATAATGACCTCAGTTCCAAGGGTTAAATACATCACTTAATATAAATGTTGTGTTTGGGTTTAAATATAAGTCTGGGCCATAGAAAAGTAGCATGTATGAGAGAAAACAACAAAGGATTCAATTTTGTAATAAATATTGAGTGCTTACTGTGTGTCACATAGTCTATTTGACACTACCATACAACCATGAACAAGCCATCCTCCCTGCCCCATAGGAGCTTGAAGTCTAGGGAACAACAGATGGAAAAATACTTAAAAATATTGAATATGATGTGCTAAGAACTTTAATGCTAACATGGCTAAATCCTTAAGCATACCTCCAACTCACCTGAAACTCACCACTAGGTAATTTTTAGTCCTTCTGCGATAAATTCTAGGGAGAAGGATATAAAGCTTTGTAGGGCCTCAGGTTCAGAGCGGGCATCCTAACAAACTATGGCTAGTCTTGAGAAGGATGGGAACTATAGAATACTTCATTGTGCACATGTTGAACTTGTATGTGGACCAAGAGACAGATGTGCAAACAGAACATGGTTTAAAATGAGGAAAGGTGCGTGTCTGGGTTGTGTACTCTCACCATCCTTATTCAGTCTGTGTGCGGAGCAAATAGTTAGAGAAGCTGGCTTCTATGGAGAAGAACACAGCATTAGAATTGGAGGAAGGCTTAGAGATTTATAGATGGGCTCTGGAGCGGTGGCTGAAGCTGAAACCTTTCCATCTTATATGACTAGAGCTGAAAAGAAGTCATTCAAATGTGCCAGGCATTCTTCCAACTGCACAATTCTATGGGCCTACATTTTCTTTTCCTTGGTTTTGCCTAAAAGTCTATTTTTAACATATTCTATCTTCTAAAGGATGTGGAACATGAAAGTATTTCGAGTTGCTGCGAATTCAGATTGAAATGCACTTTTACATAAAGAAAGTGTAGGAGTAAGAAAGTTCTACATCAGATCTGAGAGCTGGCTCACATAATTTAAAAAAATCCTTATTCAAGAAAACGGTGGCATCTGTATAATCCTTATACTTCTGTCTACTATTAATCTAATTGAACCACCCCCTCAAAAAAAGAATCATAGAAAAATCCTATAGGATGTACTCAGCCTTTCATACATAAAATCTGTAGGAATCTCAGAGTGTACATTTTTGAGTGGATAATTAGCACCTATATAGAGAGCATTTCTACCAATAAACATTTAACCCTCACGAGTAAGTCAGCTCCAGTTTTGTTGTTGTTGTTATTGTTTGTTTTATTAGACATCATCTAGTTAGTATTAGGTTTCTTGGTTCCAGCTCAAATAACAGAGTTTGAACCTACTCAGAGGCACCTCGGAAGAAAGGTCTGACCATTTATTTGCTTCGGAAAAGTCACATTTCTGAAGAGCCTGTGAAGTGCAGTGCCCCGTCACACTCATGGGTTGCTGTGAGTCTAAATCAGGCTGCTAGGAATGAGTTTTATTTTTTGGTTTTGGATTATGTAGTGTGGGAGAATTCAAAACGTTATCATGGTAGATCTCTTGATTGTTTTTCTGGTATTAAAAACAGTGGTAGGAAAAAACAGAACCCAATTCCCCTTCAAATGTGGTCGATTTTGACAAGGGAGCTTACAAAAGAAAATATTAAAATAGAATTTATGTAGGTTTCAGGAGGCCTACTGTATGCAGTAGTCCTCAATTCTTAGCCCAATGTAGGAAATGTCGTGATGACAGTCCATGATATTCCAGGTGTGCTTAATTAGACCTTTCAGAGCATTGCCTCTAGAAATAGGAAAAGGGAGAAAATATGGAAAGCTGCTATTAACAAAATAGATGTTAAAGGAGATGCAATAGATTTGAAAAGATCACTATTGCAAGTGCAAATGAGACAAACATAACAACGTGTCAGAAAACAAGAAACAGGCTATCCCCAATGCCACTCCACCACCACCAAATTGATTGTGGAACCAAGTACACATAAAATGCGTAACTTTAATATCTTACAAATACTACATATCCGTAATATTGTTCTCTATTGACCTAGTTATAAGGATGTTTTTTTAATATAACAGTGAGTTGTAATTCATACCACAGGTTGTGGTCTTTGATCTTCATCGTAAAACCTTCAAGTCTTCTTCACCTCCAATAGGCAAGGCTGTGTTATCTGCATCTTGCAGATTGGTGGTGAGCCTTGCTCCAATCTTGAGGCTGCATTCTTCTTTTTCATATAGTACAGCTTCTCGGATTCCTTTCTCAGCATACAGACTGAGTAAGCACAGGAAAAGGTTAGAACTTGGCATACATCTTTCCTGGTTTTAAACCATGCAGTGTTCTCTTGTTCCAGTAGAACAACTGCCTCAAGGTCTATGGACAGTTCCTCTTCAGCACAATGACGTGCTCTGGAATTCTCATTCTTCACAATATTACCCCTAGTTTATTATCATCCACATTGCCTTCACAGGGTCAATAAAACACAAGTAAATATCTTTCTAGTCTTCTCTGGTTTCAGCAAGATTCATCTGATGTCTGTAATGATATCCCTTGCTCCATATCCTTTTCTGAATCCATCTTAAATTTCTGGCAGCTCCTTGTCAATCTACTGCTGTAGCTATTCATTAATTATCTTCAGGAAATTTTACTGGCATGTGCTAATCATGCTAATAAAAGTCCATGTGTGCTCATTCATGATAAGTATATCGATTTTATTCCATATCATTTTCAACAACTTTCACTTTTCCTGGATTCCTACTTTGTCCATTCCATAGTCCAATTCTTGATGGGGATTTGCAATGTTTCCTTCTCATTTCGAGTCACGCCCCATTAGCAGATGAAGGTCTTGAACGCTTTGCTCTATCCACGTCAGGAAGGTGAGCCTCCTTGGAGAAGGCAGCTCTTCCCCGAGCGCATTAAGAGTGATGTCCTACCTGTTCATCACCTCTCCTGGTGCTCCTGCTGGTCAGGAAGTTTTCACTGGCCAACCCCTCAGAAAGGACAGGCTTTGCCTTTCTCCTAGCCTGTCTCAGTCTTGAAGACACCTGAAAAGTACCCGCGGTGGGGGAGCCTGTCCCAGTGGCATAGCTCCCATGTCACGGTGATACAAAACTGCGACAACATGACAAAGCAACAGACAGATGGTAGAAATGGATCACAGAGGGCTCAAAGGACTAGAGTCAGGAATCGACCGTAGGTGTAGGGAGACGTTGAAGTGGAAGTTACACAAAGCGTCTGTTGAAAGCACTCGGCACTAAGGAGAGAAAATGTCCAACTGGAAGCATAGACGCCGTGCACATCCCCTTCTTGCCACTTCTGTAACCTCCAAGTGCATCACTACTTCGCAGCACAGCGACCCTACCGATGATACAGAACATAAGAAAAGTGACCATATTCGACTCCTTCTCGATTTTTCACCCCAGCATCAATACCAATTGTGTGAAGTCCATTCTGATTCGTGGGGACCTCGTGCGGGAGGCAGTAGGGGTTCTGTAGGGGTTCGTCGGCCGGTTCTTCTGGAGAGGCGCCCCAGCAGCAGGCACGAATGACTACCGGTGATTCAGAACCACTCGGTCATTCCACAGGAGAAAGAGCTGGGTATTTGCTTCCAGGTAGTCAAGAAAACCCAGTGAGGCGGTATTCTTCTGGGCCACCAGGAGCAGAAATCAACTCAGGGCATGTAGCCGTCACACCCATCTTGATGGAAACGCTCAGCAGGCCTTGTGTTCAGAAGGGCCATCATTGAACACACCCCTCCTCCCCCAAACTACACACTGCCGTGGGGACGATTCCAAATCCCAGTGACCCTGCAGGACAAAGTAGCATGCCCTCTAGTGTCTCCAATGCTGCAAATCTTTACCAAAGCCTCATCTTTTGCCCGCAGAGTAGCTCGTGGGGTCGAACTGTTAACTTTTCAGTGTAGCAGGCCAATGCTTAGCCCAGTGTCACCTCTGAGTCGTCCAGAAAACTCCATTTTTACACTCACCCAAAGAACTCTAATTTAAGCATTTGGGAAGGTTTTTATTAATCAAACCATTGAAAATTCACAAATTTTTCATTAGTAATATTATCTTCATTAGTGAAATTCATCTTCAAAAGCCAGTGCTTCCTGGTGACATTCCTTTCCCATTTCAAGTGAGCTGTGTGTCCGGCCCATACACGGGGGTGACCAGGACGAGCCGGAAATGTCAGAGAACCTCTTGAGTTTTCGAGGTCCCACACTTTTGCTTGCAAGTTGGAACAAGGGTCATTTAGCTTTGGGTTGGTTTCTCTGTAGAACATTCCACCATCATCTAATCAATATAGTAAGTTATAAGAAATTAGCACACTGTTAGTACCAAACAAATGAAAGTCAAGATAGTCCAACCTCTCAAGAACCAAATCTACCCCGTATATTTCCACACTGGAGAGAGCGACAGATATTTGCCTATGGGTGCTTCTCGTCAGAATTTCACAGAACATTCCTCTTTCTGAATTGCAGGGCCAACCCTCGAAACTTTAATTTTGACAACGTGGGCAATGCCATGCTGGCGCTGTTTGAAGTGCTCTCCCTGAAAGGCTGGGTGGAAGTGAGGGATGTTATTATTCATCGTGTGGGGCCGGTAAGCACTCACAGCAAACCCTCTGAACACGCCGAGAGCTGCTTTCCTGTGCTTTGATGAATAACCGTGTTTCTCATTTATGCAGATCCACGGGATCTATATTCACGTTTTTGTGTTCCTGGGTTGCATGATTGGACTGACCCTTTTCGTTGGGGTAGTTATTGCTAATTTCAACGAGAACAAGGTAAGACTTCTTGGCTTGACTCACACAGGGTATGTATATATATATATATATATATATTTTTTTTTTTTCTAAATACTTCCTTTGAGGGTTTGAGGTTTTCTTTTTCGACACACACACCCGACATTAAGTCACAGTAAAAACCATAATGTGACTGTTGTAACTCATCTCGGTCACTTCCTTACAAGCTAACTCACTGCCACCTTTCAGGCAATTACTAAAGGTTACAAGTCTCCTAAATATACCCTTTTGGGTAACAGCGGCATTAATTCGCTGACAACTGAAAAGGATATCTCCCATTTATCAGATTGAAAGGATGTTTGGCAACTTATTAAAATACAATAGCTGAAAAGGAATCACTATTTGCAGGTACCGAACTCAAAATTTTGATGGGGAAGGGTTGCTGTAGAAATTTTTGGATTTTTTTTTTTTTTTTGCAGGACGGTAAGAAGCTCTTTGTAATTTCAGATGATCTTTACATACTTTGTGTCCTCGGGGAACATGCTGAGTTCAAACAGTTCGATATTATCCGTACAAAGGTTCGCAGATGGGAAAACAGCAAGTCTCATTTCCTCTCTGCAGCTCTCCTGGGAGAGGGATTACCCTTCTTGGGGACACAAAGATGTGCATGCCCTCTGGTGGGGGAGGGTCAGGATTTGGAACCACCCTCATGGAAACGCATCCCATTTTTGAGCACTTTCCATGTGTATTAAGATTTGACATATATTTTTATCCATTCTCACAACTCTGAAGTGTGCCGCTGAAGAAAAGGAGACTTAACACAAGGTCGGATGACTTGCCTGAGACGCATCAGTGAGACCAAGAGTCAGATGCCGGGCTTATTACTGCAGGCTCAGTGATTCATCAAATGCAAGAATATAAAAATATCGGCCATCTTTGGCTGCCTTGAATCATAGTGCGATTTGCCTACAAAGCCGTGTGCTGTTAGATGTTATTCATGGCTGGGACTCATTTGCACGCATTCACAGCAGAGCTCTGTGGTTTGTGTAGCTGCGCGTGGGACTGTCATTCACCGTCCCCAGGCTCAGTGCGTGTGGTAGCGGTTACTCATGTCTAGAGCTGCCTCCTTTGATGTGTGCCTAATGAGGATGTCATTTCATCTGGGCGTTCAAAGGGTGTGATTTGAAAACCCCCTCCTTTGGGCCCCAACACCACTGCAACCCACAGAAACAGAATTTCAGAGTTGCAGAGAAAGGTAGCGATCATGGAGCCCAGCCCCCCCTATTTCACTCCCTAGCACATCCATACGCCAAGTTGCTCTAAACCCCACAGTGTATTCAATTTAAAGCTGAGTGGAAAGAGGAAAATGGATCTTTTTAGATGCCTTTGAGCCATGCTAAGGCACAGACTCTGGGAATTCCAGAATGTGGACAGAAGTTAATCGGTCAATTAACAGGCAAGTTAGAGCACTGTTTGCCCAGGAAGCGACAGGAGGCGCGCTGAGTGGGGTACCTGCCTCCAAGGGACATAGGTTCTGTGGCAGCTCACAATTCAGCAATAAAATGGGCAATAAATACCTCGAAAGAAATGCATAATTCATGACATCTCTTGAACTTCGGGAAATGGCTGAAGTAAGCCAAATCGTCAGGGAGGGTCTGCTTACAATACTCTCCTACTTTGGGCCTGAAGAAGGACAGGGATGCTTTAGCACGAGGCAGGGGCCTACACAGGTTTATAACTTCACATGTGCTTCGTAAAGCAAGAGAAGTGTTAGAAGAAATCCAATTACCAAGCACTATATAGTTTGATTATAATTCATTTGAAGTACAAATTTCGAACTATATGAATCTTTTAGAAAATATTTTTTTCTTCACCTTTCTAGAACTAGCCCTATAAAACCATTTGTTCATTATCATTCACTTAACAGAGTCCCTGTTAACATGCTTGACTGCTAACCGAAAGGTCAGAGGCTCCATACTTGCAGGCACCTGAGAAGAAAGGTCTGGAGATGTAATTCAGAGGACTCGCCATTGACAGCTGTAGGCTGCACGGCTGTGCTTTAACACACCTGGGTCAGCTTGAGCTCAGTTAGCTCGATGGCAACAAGTGGGTAGTATTTTTCTAACAAAATGTTTGTGAGCACCGCCTAGATACCAAACGCAGCTCTTGGTGCTGAGGATATAATTGCCCCATGAAGACCACACTTTAATGGTCATGTTGGCATTGTTGGATATGGTAGAGTCCATGCTGGCTCATACTGAGCCTGTGTAACAGAGTAGAACTGCCCCATGCCGTTTTCTCAGCTGTGACTGTCTTAACAACAGTTTTATTAGCATGTAATTCACAAACTATACAGCTTGATAGTTCAAGCATATTAAGAGGACTCCTACAATGATCACACAATCCATTGTAGGACATTTTCTTCATTCCTGTACTCATAGTTATTAGCTTCCCATCTTCCCCCTGCCCCCTCAGCCTTCTTTGCCATAACCCCAAGAGATAAGTAATCCAGTTACTGTCTCTGTAGATTTACCCATTGCTGTCATCTTTACAGAGGCAAATCTCCAGGTTTCTCCCATGAAGCCAACTATCCATTTCCAGTAAGGCACTTGCCTAGGTCATGCCTAAGGTTGTATAAGTTGGTTTCCAAATATATCGGGCAACAGAGATATAGAGAAATATTTAAAATAACAAACTTTGGCAGTAGTGCTTCGCAGATGGAGATTGCCCATAACAGGCACGGTAGGCCCGAGTTGCTTTTGGAGTAAGAACGTCCTCCTTGGAAAATGGAACACTTTTTTAAAAGTTGAAAGTCTGTAGCAATCATATAGATTTTTAGAAGTTCTCTACTAAAATAGGAAGGAGGCCTGGTGGCCCTGTCAAATAAACATTGGACTGCTAGCCTCAAGGTTGGTAGTTCAAGCCCATCAGCTACTCTGAGGGAGAGTTATGTGTCAATCTACTCCTGTGAAGATTTACATACTCTGAAACCCTCTGAATCGGAATCAAATGCAAAGCAGTGGGTTTGTTTTGGAGTTTTACTGTAAAACAACGCTTTGAGACATAAACTTAATTTCACAATTAGTAGGTTTACAGAAGTTCTCATATATTGAACAAATATATGAGTATCTCCATGTTTTAATTCTGTTGTATCCTTTTATAGTTTACCTTTTCAAAATTTCTTCTCATTCTAAAATGGAAGAATAATGCTAATTTATATAGTGGCTACAGAGAAGATACTAGTTTCTGCTTAGAGAGGAATAGATTCGCAATATTAACATCAGAAACAAATAAAATGAACAATATTAGTACTGATAGTGTAACTAAATCATGGGATTAGTCAAAGTGATTGATCACCAGAAAATTACAGAACATCTGAACATCAAACTGTATGAAGTACACATTAGTATAATTAGGAAAGTTAGCAAATCCAAAGTTATAGTGAAAAATGTTTCCCTAGGAGACATTCTGCCATAGGTCAGATGGGAGAAAAGAAGAAGAACTAGAAAGAAAGGAAACGTGATGTTTGGACTCCATAGAGACATTAGAAGAGATGTGTGAAGACGCCCGCATCCCACATTACTTCCAGAGGCAAAGCATCTTCTGAAGGGCCATAAAACAAGCACTGTTACCACAAATCAAGAATTTATGTAACATCCTCTGGTTATTATACAAGAGACAGGAAGAAAAATCCTCAGATTTTGGAAATGGTAAGAAACCATTTTAAATAAGTTTGAGGTAAAAGGAAAAAAATCCAAATAGAAAATCATAAATCCTTTAGAACTAAGAATGAAAGAAATCACAAGCTACAGATAAATCAGTAATGACAGGGAAATTTATAGCCTTAAATTTTAATATGTTGGAGAAAAAGAAAAGTTAAATAGGAATGTGTAAAATACTAAAATCAATAAATTATAATAAAGAGCCACAAAGAAAATCCAAAGAATTAGGAGGAAGAAATAGCAAAGATGCACATAGAAATTAAGGATGTACATAGCAAAGTAATAATTTTAAAAACCAAGTCTGATACGAGTTTCTTTCTTTAAAATGGAACCAATGAATAAAACTTTAGCAATGATAAGCACATATAAAAATATGGAACCATAAAAAGCTATAGTAATTAAAACAATGTAGGCATTGTCACAGGTATAAAAAAAGTAGAGAACAACATGGAAAACCCCAGTATATGCATATACAAGACAAAAGCAGAATAAAACATCAGTGGAGAAGGATAAGACCATCACCAACAGTTGCTGGGGTAACCAACTGTCAATATGAAGAACCTCAACTGAAATCCCTACCTCACAGCACACGATCCCAGATGAATTAATCACAAGACAAGAAAAGCAAACATCAAACTATTTTCAAACCGTAGAGCATTTTGTTATGATGCTGGTCTGATTGCAATTCACATGAACCAGAATGTCAAATCCTAGAGAGAAAATGTTGTAAATTAAGTATGGTAATATTGACATTAACATTAAAAGACATGACAATCAAAATGAAAATACAAGAAAAATAAATGTAATTCATATAGCTGACAAAGCATGACTATTGGTATGAATAAAAAAGTCTACAAAACAATAAAATTAAAGATCAGAATTCAAGAATGACCAAAGAATATGAATAGGTAATTCACAGAGTGAGATAAGGAATAACCAATAAATAACATAAATGTTTTTTCTCATTAATGTTCACACTAAAGTAGAGACTATTTCATTCATATCCAAGAAGGAAGCACAAAACACTGTTGTCGAGTTGGTAGCTACTCATAGTGACTTAACAGGACAAAGTTGAACTCCGTAGAGTTCTCAAGGCTATGATGTTCACGGAAACAGACCACTGCACCCAGTAGGCTCCATCTTTCAGTTCGTGTTTGAGTGCTTAACCGCTTGGTTCACTAGATAGAGCTCCTTATCCATCAAAATGGCAAGGGGTTTCTAATCCCATTACCTCTAGTTTAAGGTGACCAGACTTCCCGTTTTTGGCGGGACAGTCCCGATTTTTGGCATTTTAAAAAGTCCCAATTTTTGGAAAGAATGCACGACAAGCCAGGGAACGGTCTATTTGGTCCATATAGACCAAATTTTTAATCAAGAATCCCCCTTCCCCTCCCCCTATCAATGGTGTCCCACTTTAAATCTGGTCACCTTACGTCTAGTTCCATTTTCTCACAAACTTTTTGAAGTCTCAACCAGATCATGTCAATTATTGTCAAGGATAAACGAAATGGGAACACCTGGGTACTGTGACTGGGGAAATTTGGCAGGGGTGGGGTGGGGTTAACAACTTGGCAACATCTGGAAACAAACATGCATAAATTCCAAACCCACTGTCAATGCCATCTAGTTGGCGCCGACCCATTGTGACTGTATGGCGCAGAGTAGAAGTGTTCTAGGATTTTCCAAAACCAAATCCTTCCAGGAGCAAGCTGCTTCATCTGTCTCCCGTGGAGCAGCTGGTTTGAATCGCCAGGCTTGGGGCTGGCAGTCCAGTGCTTTGCTTGCTGTGTGACCAGGGCTCCTTCATAAAGTTCTAAAGCCCCTCAAGACCTCTCCCAGAGACTTGCAGTGGAGACTCTCCCATGTTTACCCTAAGATAGAACACGTGTTTCTTGTAGCACTGATGATAGTCCGTAAATCCAAAATTAATAACTTGTAGTATATTGGTATACTGGACTACCAGATAAGCAGGTAAAAGGAATAAATGAGATCTAATTGTACCAAGAACATATTGTTCAATGACAATAAAAACAAACCTCACATGTAAATGTGTACTGGATAGCATTGATGTTAATCTTTTACATTCAGAATGAATGCACTCTTAGCCGTTCATACAGATGTAAGTAGCATGTGAAATGTAAATGGGCAGGGTACTTACCCATCAGTAGGGGCAGTTGTTAGCCCTGGGGAAGAAAAGGGAGGGTGGGATTGGGGATGGGTCACTTTAGATGTGTCTGTATATTATTTCTAGAGAGAAAAATCTGAAGCAAATACCAAGGGGCTTCAAAAATTCATGAGAAAATCCCATTATCTTTCCATTGCATTTTACCACAAACTTTTGGAAGGCCCCACCTTTGGGGAAAGCTTGGCATGTGTTAACTCTGCATAAAAGATCCACAGGCATTAGATTGTTGTCGGTAATTTTGTTAGGATAGAGAGTTAGGCAGCTTGTATGGGACATGGGAGTTAGAGTTTGGCTCTTATTCTAAAGGCAAGGGAAAGTCTTAGAAGGTTTAAACAGCAATAACTGATATGGTTCAAGGGTGTAACCAGGTCAAATCGGTTGCAGAGTAGAGAGTGAACTGATGCAAGGTGAGAGAGGAAGCAAGGAGCATGTGTATCTTCTCTAAGTTCTAAAGCAGCCGTACCCCAGCACAGCTGCAGTTCCGTGTCACCAGAGAAACGCTGAAAATGACCCATTCCTGGAACCTCAACCAACTAGTCTGCGTTTGGTCTGCATTGAATCCCGGGCACAGATCTATAGAGTTTACCAGATGAGAACCGCTACTCTTAAGAGTCTATTTCTGCTCTAACTGGATCTGAGTCCACTAGGCACCTGCACCACCACCACCACCAGTCTGGCCTCCGCAGCATCTAACTTTGGAGATGCTCAGTCTTCCGGAAACTAGAAACCCTGCAGCACTATCCGCAGTAGCAGCAGCAATTATAATCAAGCGGGTTTCAACTCCTGGTGCACCTGTATGTCACAGTAGACTGTGCTCTACAGGGTTTTCAAAGGCTGATTTTCCAAAGATCACCAGGTCTTTCTTCCAAGGTGCTTTTTGGTGGGTTCAAAACTCTAAACTTGATGTTAACAGACACCAGGGATTCCTCTAGCCTTATAGCCTGTTCCAATCACCCAACAAAGAAGTGCTTTACTTTTTTTTACAAATGTAGTGGCACAGGTTGTTTTTTTTTAGGTAAGCATTGGATTATTAAAGTTGAAGTTGGCAGTTCAAACCTACCAACTGTTCTTCAGGAGAAAGATGAGGCTTTAGGCTCCCATTAAAATTTCTAGCATTTGGAAATCCTATATAGGGTCGCTATGGGTAGAAATAAAATTGATGGCAATGTGTTTTGTTTCATTTGATCTTGGTGGTGTCATTTCTCTGTGCATTTGTGGTATACTATTATAAGATATGTTCTTTGATAATCATTTTAATGTTCTGTATTACTTAATGTTCAGAACCTAGATTATTGTCAAGGATGCTGCAGTTTGCAAACCATAATTACTTTTGAATAAATGCATGAAGGATAATAATAATCCTTTTTCATACTGAACAACTCGTAATTTTTATTTGTGTTCAACATTTTATTAGGAGCTCTTACAGATATTATTACAAACCATAGTTCCATTAGATCAAGCATAGTTGTACAATTGCTGTCATCATCATTCTCAATACCTTTCCTTTTTCTTGAACTCTTTGATATCAGCTCCCCTTTATGCTCTCCGTCCCCCACTCTACCACCCACATGGACCCTTAATGTATTACATGTGTGTGTATAATTGCCATATCTGACACCATCCAATGTATCTATTCACCTACAATTCTGTTGTTCATTTCCCTCGAGTGGAGTTATACATTCATCATTTCTACCAGTTCTCCCTTCTCCCCTCCCCCTGCCTCTCTTTCCATGCCCTCAGGGAATTGTTACTCCCATTACGGTTTCTGAGAGATTTATCTCTCTTGGATTTCGTGCATTGAAAAATCTTTATTGTACATATGTACACACACAGGTGACTCATAATTTTTTTAAAAGATTTTTCTAATAGAGCAAGATAAAACAGTTAAAACTAAAATGCAATATCAATTCTCAACGCCCAACTTACCCTAGCTATTTTAAAGATGGCAGCACCCAGGGCAGTGGAGGCAGAGGCTCTCGTACCCACGGTCATGGGAACATAACTGGAGGGCACTTCTGCTACTTGGAATTCTAAGAAAGTAATTATGAATGTGTGAAAATCAAGCATAGTTATTGCAGCATGATTTATAAGAGCAGAAAGTAAAAACAACCTTAATCTTCATAAGCAATCAAACCCTCTTTAATCATTAGAATTAGTGTTTGAGAATATTTTAATGTTATGCATACAAAAATATTCAAGGTATTTTAAATGGCAGAGTATGTTATAGATAGTGTGTACAAACATGATTTGTAATATCTATGTATGGCAAAAGGTCAGAAAGTTAGACACTAATATTTAGCATCTTGGTAGTAGGTTTGTGAATGATTTAAGGACTTTTGTTTTATTTGTGTGTGTGTGTGTGTGTGTTTCTTATCTCCACTTAAAACTTGCTATACAATGAACATGTTACTTTTGCAACATGATAATTAAAAAATTATTACATTATGTTCTTCAGGGGTGACAAAAAAATCAGGAATGTACTTCTCCCCTTGAATTGGTTAGTGTTAATACAAAACTTCAACTTTTCTGAAATTATCTTGGAAATAAATTTATACTTTTTCCTTGGTAGGGTTTCCTGGGTAGGGTAAGTTTTTGTGGGAGTAGACATCCTCATCTTTCTCCCATGGAGTGGTGTGGTTTTGAACCACCGACCCTGCAGTTAGCAGTCCAACACTTACCAGGCAGCACCACTAAGGCTCCTTAATAGAATGTGATAAAACTCCCTGCTAGCAAATTGATTCTGGCTCATCGAGTAGAATTTTCCCTCTGGGTTTCTGAGTCTGTAACAATTTATGGGAAGAGACAGCCTTCTCGTTCGCCTGAGGAGTGGATGCTGGTTTTGAACTTACCATGCTGCAGTTAGCAGCCAAATGCCTAGCCACTACACCAGCAGGGATCCTAAGATTCTATGAGAGTTTGTACTGTGTACACTTTAATCAAGTTCTCTCCTCTGGAGCATATACTATCTGATCACATCTGATCTTTATTAATGTTAAAAGTCCCGAATTTTATGGCTCCATACCACTTTAAAATATATTTTAGCATGGCACATATTAAAATGACTACAAAACACCCTTAACGAGAAGCAGCGTCAGTGGCAAGCTACAATTTGACCGCAGCATTTTCTACTATGAAATGCAAGAAAATGAACCTTGCGTTAGTTAGAGCTTCTGTCATTGGAACTTTAATTGTACAGACACGGGTTGTAGTTGTTGCTGTAACAATTTCCTAAACTCAAATAGTACACGACTCCAAAGGTATCAACAGAAGGCTGCTGGATCCTCTCTGAAAAACGTGGTTCTCATCCAGGCACCCCTGGCACTAGCAGGTTTCAGACTTCTGTCCACGTGGATCTGCACTCCCAGGTCTGGGAAGACTCTCTTGATCTGCAGACCCCACTTTAGTCCTGATTGCCTCAGCGCCCTGCTTGCACTGGGCATGGCCTGGTCAAGCCTGTGACTGAAGCCTCTCCCTGCTCTCTCCTGTTTGTGAAGGGGACGGCGTTGCTGACCGTGGATCAGAGGCGCTGGGAAGATCTGAAGAGCAGACTGAAGATCGCGCAGCCTCTTCATCTGCCACCTCGCCCGGGTATCAAAGCTGTTCTGATTCTATTCATGTCGGGCACTGGGGTTCATGATTCCCCAGGAGTCTACGATTTAAATTAGAATAATAATCATGAGACCACTAGGAGGCTGTGCATAAGTTAATATGGAAACGGGCTCCCAAGTACAGATCTCCCCATCAGACTATTCAAACCAGCCCCCCAAAAGCCGGGTTCCAGTGCCCAGAATGAGCTGTAATGGGGGGGGGAAAGAAATTTTAAAGAAAATGTATTTGTGCTTGTCTTTAAAAAATATGAATGATATCTAGTAAGTGGACAGAAATTGAATTTGTGATCTGATCAGCTTCGAGGGCTGCCGTGTAAAATATGTAGAGTGACAGCCCTTTCCTGCAGAGTACTTCACAATAGATTGAACAGTCGACAGGAAAAATAATTAAAAACAAAATGTAATGGCTTTGGGGTGTGGGGGGGCTCCTCGAGAGAAGGCAAGAAAGTAAATGCAACCTCTGTCCAAAATGTCCTGGCCCCACCCTCTCTTGGACAGATAATGACGGTTTCCGAGCTAAAATGTACGACATCACCCAGCATCCGTTCTTTAAGAGGACGATTGCGTTACTGGTTCTGGCCCAGTCGGTGCTGCTCTCGGTCAAGGTACGTGGGCTCCTGGTGCCACTCTGGGAAGCCCGTTTGCTTTCCTGGGTGCATGCAGAAGCCTGCACCCCGCCGTGTCCCTGGCGAGTCTGCATCCCCGCTCTGTGTCAAAATTAAAACTCGCCGTCTGTGCAGGTGGGGAGGCGAGGGGGGCGTCCATGTGTGTCTGGGGGTGTCCGGCAACCCCCTGGGTGCTGTCTTCCTTGCAGTGGGACGTGGAGGACCCGGTGACTGTTCCTTTGGCCACGATGTCCGTTGTTTTCACTTTCATCTTTGTTCTGGAGGTAAGGCGAGGAATCTGCCCGCTCTGGGTCTGCTGGGCACAATTTCACAGTAAAACCATGGTCCCCCTTGGATGCCACTTCTTTGCAGCTCGGTGTCCCTTGCCTTTGAAGCCCACCCCGGCCTTTGGAGTAGTGTATGCTGAGGGCGCTTTCTTTTTTAGAAAGGTTTCCTTAATTTGAACAAAATGTTCACTTGATCTCTCCTGACGTCTTCCTAACTGCAGAAATGCTGCAGTCGAGTCCTGGGAGTTCAAATATTTAGAGTGAGCTGCACCATTCACTGGAATTCACCAACACAGACCCCAAGCCAGTGGCTGGGGGAGTTGGCCCAGCAATGTCTAGGCTGGGCCCAGCTGGGATTATGTTCATATCTGGTTCGTAGGCTATTTATTGCTTTCCGAGGCAATCTTCTTTGACAGGCAAGCAGATTCTTATCCCACCCGGCCCTGTTTCTGAAAATCCATGGTTTTTCACTCGAGGAAGAAAACTGTCTTATTAGAGTTGGTCATAAAACAAGGAAGTATATATAGAGAATATAGATTTAACCTACTCAACTTGAGGGGGGTGGGGGAGGGAATCATATAGCTTGGAAATAAACTATTCTTTGCAGTGACCTCATCCTTAAAAACATGTCTCTGTAACACCGCGATTTAATACATGTAAATATGCAGAACACTTAGGCATGTTTCCTTCTGTCCATTTCCTTCTCGCCCAGGTTACGATGAAGATCATCGCCATGTCACCCGCTGGTTTCTGGCAAAGCAGAAGAAATCGCTATGACCTCCTGGTGACGTCACTCGGCATTGTCTGGGTAGTCCTTCACTTTGCCCTCTTGGTAAGCAAGTCAGCTGTTGTTTCCATTCATTTTACTGCTATCAAGTTTCTCTCGTTTCCAAGTTGACCGTCCGTCTACTCTCAGGGGGGTTATTAACCTCTGTCCATCATAGCATTGCTCTTGAGAGGCCCTGAGACTCAATGGCACATACATGTACCTCTTCATGTGTACACTCCTCTTCGGTCTCCACACAGACAAGACCTGGCCCTTCAGGTTTTCTGAAGACTAGCATCCATTCCACCACAGTACACTGTAATCCATAATTCATGGGTTTCTCATTCATCTTCCACCCCTATGCCTTTAGCCTCCCGAGTCGCCATCCAGTCTGCGGTCAAGCTCAAAGCTGTTGGTGTTCTCGACTAAGCGTGATCTAGAGCTATTTTGTTCAATCACATTGTAATGTGGCCCATGGGTATAATTTACAATTTTCTAGTAACCAACTTAAAATTGTTTTCAAGGGCATGAACTTAATCATGTATTCCTAACCCACTAAGGGAAGGGAGAGAGCCCTGGTGGGGGACTGGGTTACACTTTGGACAGCAAACGACAGAATCAGCAGTTCAGCCATAAAAATGCACAGCCTTGGATACCGAAAGAAGCAGTTCTGCCCTGTTCTTTAGAGTTGCTATGAGCTAGAATCTATTTATAGTGGTGATTTGTCTGCTCCTAGAGATGGACACCGCCGAAAAAGATGCAGTCTCAGAATCCTCATATAAGGTTGCTACGAGTAGGAGTTTAGTTGGTGGCAGGGGACTTTGTTTTAGGGGTGGGTCTAAAAACCAGAATCCCAACTCACTCTCATCAAGTTGATCCCGACTCATAGCAACCCTATAGGACAGTGTGGAACTGCTGGGGGGGTGGGGGTGGGGGTTCTGAGACTAACTTTTTACGAGGGTAGAAAGCCCCGTCTTTCTCCGACAAAGCAGCTGGTGGTTTTGAACTGCTGACCTTGCAGTTAGCAGCCCCACGCATCAGCAGGCCACCAGAGGAGTGAACGAGAGAGAAGGAGCTCTGTTGGCACAATGGGTACGTCCTTGGCTGCTAGCCAAAAGGTCTGCGGTCTGAACCGAACAGTCACTCTGGGAGAAGTGAGGCAGTCTGCTTCCAGACAGACTTCCAGCCGCTCTGCCATCAGCCTCAGTCAAGGGTACTCTGCTCTAGGTCTGTGGGTCAGCTGACCTCGCTCCCTTGATTAAGGGCCTGAAGGCAAGCTATTCCGAATGTGAGCCTCCTTGCCAAAGGCCCTTCCTTTCTTGCTCTGTGGACCGGGCTGGCTGCTCTGTCTTGTCCTCTTGGGGCTCCTGCTTCTGTGGCCATCACGTCCTTGCCGCATCTCTAGTGCCACAGCTCTCCATCTCCTGGAACATGGAGGTTCTATGGACAGGGACGTCAGGGTCCAAAGGATGAACTCCGTCCCTGCCCCTTCTTTCGTTATGGTAGAGAAATCCCACTCCTGCTTCTGAGACAGCTTGTTCTATCCTCAGTGGGATGGCCACACTGAGCGGTTCCTAAGTTGGAGGACCAAGTTTTTACAATCACAACCAACCCAGCTAGCAATCACTCACCACTGGACCCTATACGCCATCAGCATCTTCCCCCACCTTCTCTTAGGCAGGCCCATCACAAAAGGAGGAAATACCCCCAATCTGCATGATTCTACCCAGCTGTGTGGTAAGAGTTGCAAAGACAATAGGCAAAAGAACCACAGGAAACAAATCACAGACAGCATTACAGGTGCTTACCTTCCTTCCATTGTCTTCATCAGACACAAGACCTCGGCCCTCTCCTGCCCCCTTTACAGAAGCCATGTAAACGTAGGATTATGAACTTCATATCCTACGGTATAGTCAGTCCTGATGAGAACCAAGGGAGGTCATGAATGTGATTTTTTTTTTTCTAGCAATAAAGATGACATAACACTTTTGTGAATTTTTCCATGATCTCTGAAAAAAGTAATTATTACTTGTTCTCTTCTACTCATCTGCTTTAATGTGAGAGGCATGCCTCCAAAAGATCCATAACACCTAGGGACCCAGGTACACATCAGAAAAGGTATGTCTTCATATGAGATTGAAATGGCTGTGCTCATGAACAGAGTGAGCCTCCTTAAAGCAATCGGTACCTGCAGAGTCAGAGGACCCACGCAGCCGGAGAGAGCGCGCCGTAATCTCGATTCGTTTTCTCAAGCACTAACTGATCAGGAGCCCTGCAGACAACAAGGCACTGTGCTAGGAATGGAGAACGCTCTAATGAGCAAAAATAAAGACAGCCACTACCCTCTTGAACTTTCCAGTCTGGAAAGCTGAGTAGGCACTTCTTGAATGATCTCACGTGATTGGGAATTATAGTGAAGGTGAGGGATATAAAGGAAAGGCACAAGCTCCTATGCAAACATAAACCAGTGGATGTCTTGGTTTCTAGCTCTGCCTAATTCTGATGCAATCCTATGCAATCCTATGACGGGGTAGAACTGCCCCTCTGGGTTTCCAAGGCTGTAAATCTTTACAGGAGTAAAAAGCCTGAACTTTTTCTCTTGAAGCAGTTGGTGGGTTTGAACTGTTGACCTTATGGTTAACAGCCTAATGCATGGTTATTAGGTCCTTATGGTTAACAGCCTAACAACACCATGCCAAAAGAGTTCATTGATTTGGGGGTGGCTTTAAAGAAAGGAGATGTATTGTCTCACAGCTCTGGATGTGAGGCAGGGTTGTGCATTCCTTGGGGATAAATGCTTTCCTTGTCTCTTACTGCTTGGGTTGCCCCTGACTTCGTGGCATCCTTTGGCTTTTCATATCTTCTCATGCCTATGACTCTGTCTCTGTGTCTGTTCTCCCCTTTAAAGACACCACTTAGAAAAGACTTGGATCCGCCCTAGTCTAATGCAGCATCATTATCATATCTGATAACAGCTTCAAAGAAACATTTCCCAACACAGTCACATTCACTGGGCCAGGGGTTAAATCTCTAATATATCATTTTGGGAAACAATTAAATTCATAACTGTGGAATGTGACTTCCTGAGAGAGATCCAGTGAGACATCTGTGAGCACATGATGATTGCCTTCAGTCGGTAGGATGAGAGGGGGAACTTGTGATGGAAAAGTGTAGGAACTAGAGGGATGTTGGTGTCACTGGAGTAGACCCAAGGAGTGGTGGGAGGAATGGAATCATTTGTTTGGGAAAGGAAGTTGATGTCTGACTTCTCAGACCTTGTAATCTAGGTTAATGATGTTGCTCATCGTCCTGACACTGTTTGGAATCTTGGCTTCCAGAACACATGGTAGAAGGTGTCTCCAGGAGGTGATGCATCCTCATGGACAGAAGGCACAGCAGGCCCATGTCTGTCGCTCTTCAGGCAGATTACAGTAACAGTCTAATTTGGCAACTCCCAGAACATAAGTAGAGGAGTCTTCCTAGCCCCCAGTGTCTGCGGAGAGGAAGACTAACTTGCCTCTTCTGCCGGCCTCTTTTGTTCTCTAAGAAGCTCTGGCCTTAGCAGGGTATTCGCTTTTCACTAAACGATGGTGAAGGACGGTGTTATCCTTGTTCACATCCAAGGATCCTCCTGTGCAAACACATTCATGTTCTTGTGCCTCACCAAGGAGCTCACAGGACCCCCTTCCCAGGGGCCCATCTGTGCCTGTTGTCACGTCGCTCGGCAAGCCTCCTGGAGCATAATCATGCTTTGGCATCAGCTTAATGCCAACGTTGTTTATTGCGGTTACCACCAGTGGGATCTTTGTTTCTCAGCTAAGGCGGAAGCGATCTTAGTTACGAAGTGCACGGAGACATCTCGTGCCGCTCGTCACATATTTGATGAAAGAACTGGAAGTGAGACTTCTCTGACTTGGCCTGCGATCGCCTGCATGGGGCTAGCTGGTCTCCACCAATGTCCAAATATCTTCAGAAAGGAGGAGGCTGAGGTCGGGCCTTTTCCCACGTCAGACGCCCCTCTCTGCCAGGATGCTTGTCTCTCTTCTGTCACTTCACTGAGTCAGGTTGCCGTGTCACCCTATGTCTGCTTCCCCTTGTCCTCAGAGGGCTGCCCACTATTTTAGGTAAATTACCTGGGATAATATGGAACTCAGTAGAGCAAAACAGAACCCAAATTTCATTTAAGATTTGATTTTATATCTAATATTTATTCATGAGCTTTGGCAGTGACCTTTCAAACACCTTTGTGGATGCATTTCTTTTGGAATCTTCACATTTTATTAAACTAATTTTTCAGGAGACTTCACAGAAGAATTATTCAGTAGACTTTTTTTTTCCATTCTTCAAATGAAAAAAAGAACTGTAACAAAATATTTGGTGCAATGATGAGAGGTTCTCTTCTGTTTACATTTCAGAATGCATACACATATATGATGGGTGCCTGTGTGATCGTCTTTAGATTTTTCTCCATCTGTGGAAAGCATGTAAGTACACAGGATGGAGCATATGAAAAGTTACATACACCTTGAAGGAAGGAACAGTGACTAATAGACTTTAGCTGTCCCCATGGGTCTTCATTCTGAGTCAGTCAGCATGATGGTCAACAAATTAATAGGCCTCCTACGTCAAGATGAACAAATATGAAAGTGAATCAGTTGTTTAGTCATCTCTTGATATTTTTTACCATTAATTGTTCTAGTTATTTTTCATATTTTCTAAATGAATTCAGTCATCAAATAAAGATTACATGTCATCCATGAAAGTAAAATATAAAGATTTATCTTAATGCTTATTCCTAATTTTTAATATAGATTTTATGTTTAAGAGTTAAGTAACTTTACTGCAAATAAAAATAATTTTGATGAGTATTTATGACTGTATATGTTCAGATTTATTTACATGCTTTATTAATATGTATGCCTTCCATATTAAAAGTAATTTAAATATTTTTTGTTGCTAAGAATTCATATGCAAGAGCTCAAGTAGAAAGAAAATGCTTTGAAAATGATGATGGCAACTTATGTACTAATGTGTTTGACACAATGGATGGATATATGGATTGTGATAAGAGCTGTAAGAGGCCCCAATGAAAGCATTTAATTAAAAAAAAGAATTCATATGTGCACTCCAAATATTTACTATTACACATATACCATTTAATTGTAGGTAAATTTCTATTCTGTTGTTATACCATCGTTAAGGTTTTCTTTTTTGTGGAACTCTTATTTATGGAAGAAATCTATTTGTGATAGGCCCCCAAAATGTGTTCCTAATCACAGTGAACCAGGGAGTAAGAGAAGAGAACTCCAACCCTAAGCCCACTGCTATTGAGTCAATTCCGGCTCATTGCATCCCTGCATGAGGTTTCCAAGGCTGTAAATCCTTATGAAATGACTGGTGAGTTTGAACCACCAACCTGGCAGTTAGCAGCTAAAACTAAATATGTAAATAAATACAAGTTCACTGTCATTCATAGCAACTGTATAGGGTAGAGAAGAGCTGCCCCTCTTTACAGGAGGAGAAAGGCTCCTTATGCTCCCGTGGAAGAACTGATGGTTTCAAACTGCTGACCTTGCAGTTAGCGGCCCGATGCATAACCACTGTGCCACCAGGGCTCTGAAAAGGGAGAGTTAAACTTTTCCTCCTTAGGCTAAAGAGACTCAACATTTTGATTTATGGCTAGAATTCCTTTATGCCTAATGAACTTTGAACAATACTGTGATCTAACATGTAAATGGGAAGTGATTTTCATAGGATATCCTGAAGGGTCATCTTTGTGCTACCTTGTGCTTAAATAGTCTTTCGTCCCAAGTCTTCTCTGACTAAATAACTGCAACTCCCCCCTTCCTTTCTGTCCTTACAGGTCACGTTAAAGATGCTGCTCCTGACGGTGGTCGTCAGCATGTACAAAAGCTTCTTCATCATCGTCGGGATGTTCCTGTTGCTGCTGTGTTATGCGTTCGCGGGCGTTGTTTTGTTTGGCACTGTGAAATACGGAGAAAACATTAACAGGTCGGTGTGTGTTTATCTTCTGAGTCATTTATCAAGAAAACCTCCCTGAGGATGAAGTCTTGAATCATCGTCTGCATTGAAGGATGATGGGGGAATTTGAAAATGGACAGTGATTGGTTTGCACAAAATGATGAGAGTAATCTATGTAACTGGGTTGCACATATAAAAACATTAAAAAAGCAAATGTTCTGTTATACATGTACTTACCACAATAAGAGGATGAATTAATATAATAATAATAATAAAAACCTGAATATTTTTCTTTATTAAAGACTGAGTTGGGAGGAGAAGTTGGAAATCAAAGTAAAAACACTTGCCCAAACTTTAAATGGTATTTTCCTGATTGAAAAAGACATAACTTGGAAACTATGACAAGTTCAGAAATGAAAGAAAATTAAAATGAACCATTCCTCCTCCACTCAGGGAGAAGCCTCTGCTAAGTAACTTTGAGTTAGCTTTGGATTTTTTTGGGTCTTTTTGTGAAACACAAGAAGTTAGAATCTCCCTCCTGAAATGGCTATTATATGTGAAAAGCATTTTCAAGGATTCCCTTGAACTGTCAAAAATCAAGTCTAGACACAACTGTGTATAAATGTGTCTCGTAGTCAAAATCGCTTATTATTTCATATGCCAAAATGAATCATTTTTAATGGTCGATACTTGCTCACTAAGACATTCCAAATACGTGGTAGGAAACTAGTGGTGTTGGGATAAATGGTCCAGAGAGTTAACAGAATGGGGACAAATATAAATAAACAAATCAGAGGGTATAACTTTTGGAAATGGAACCAAATTTGCTGTAAAACCCTCCTGTTTGGGGGTGAAAGTCATACTGTTTCATCATAACCATGCCACTCACATTCAGCTTCATATACCGATATTCTTTTCTTTCAAATTAGGCATGCAAACTTCTCCTCAGCTGGGAAAGCTATTACTGTACTCTTCCGCATTGTCACGGGAGAAGACTGGAACAAGATTATGCATGACTGTATGGTAACTATCGCTTTCACACTAATGCACAGGAGGTTTTTGGCAATACGTGACTAATGACATCATCTTCATGAATATTGAATGTTTACAAAATGTGTGTCCTGACGTTTCTTTAGTTCATAAAAGTGCATTAGTTTCCACAGCAAGAAATGCCACTACAAAGAAAGACTTTGAATTTATCAAAGACTTTCAATTTGAACTGTGGTGGAGCCCCTGAAAACTGCAAGTCATGTGAGCATTGACATTCCCCTTCCATCCTTCATGTTTTTGCAGTCAAGTATAAACAGATGAGCTTCTCACATTTCATTTATTCAGCAGTAGTCCTTTGAGCCCAAGTTCATACAAGGTCATATGCTTACTGCTAGCTCTTTGACCATCCTGAGTCAATGTCAAGGAGCTGATATTTTGAACCTCGCTCCCTCTGGCACCCTCCCTTCACCAAGAGAGTTCTCTATCATCCTCATCATTGTAAGTCTCAGGTGTAATGAATTCCTTAGGAATCCTGCCCTAACTTAAAGACTGCCTCCTTTGTGTTCATAAAACCAGCGAAGCAGTTCTGATTGAGTTGATTCTGCCTAGTGGTGACCTCGTATGTTCCCGAATTGAACTTTGCTCCACAGATATTTTTAATGCATGATTTTTTTTTTAAATAAGAAGGTAACTCTGGGTTGAAGCACAACTCCCCTCTTTGAGTAAGTAGCTAAAGACATTAACCACTTGCACCACCCAGGCACTCCTTTTGGTCTTGTCTACTTTTACCATCAAGTTCATTCCAACTCATAGAGTAGAACTGCTTCCAAGGCTGTACATCTTTACAGAAGCAGACAGCCACCTCTCTCTCATACAATGCATCTGGTTGGTTCAAACTGCTGACCTTTCAGATACAGCAAAGTGCTTTAACCACCGTACCACCTGAACAATTCAGAGTACTCAATATTTCCCTTTTGTGACTCTTACCACAATTGTGGATTATTGGCTAATTATTGTTGTGCGTTTGTGAGTTAATTCCAACTCATGGTGACCCTCTAGGACAGAGTGGAACCAAACCACAGGGTTTTGCTGAAATCTTTATGGGAGCGGAGCACCAGACTGATGGTTTTGAACTCTCAACCTTTGTGTTGTTAGTAACCACATGTTTAATTACTGTGCTCTTTGCCTTCATTACTTTATTTAATACCTCCCTCTGCCTCCAGACTAGTGTGGTCCAGTAGTGATAGAAATGTCCTATCTCAGTGGGACAAGAGGAAAGTCAAAGGAAATGGAGAAAAGAGCTAGGAGGCAAAGGGCATTTATAGAGGCCTAAATAAAGGCATGTACATATGTAAATATATTTATATATGAGGATGGAGAAATAGCTATATGTGCATACATGTATAGATTTAGTATTAAGGTAGCAGAAGGACATTGGGCCTCCACTCAAGTACTCCCTCAATGCAAGAATAATTTGTTCTATTAAATTGGCATTCT